GAACCTGCCACCTTAGGTGTATGTGGCTGGCGCCTTAGCCACTTGAGCCACAGGCGCCGAGCCACAACCTCAAACTCTTGGGCTTAAGTGTTTCTCTTGCCTCAGCCTCCCAAGTAGCTAGGACTACGGGTGCTCACCACAATGCCCAGCTATTTTTTTATTGTAGTTGTTGTTGTTTGGCCAGCCTGGGTTGGATTTTGAACCTGCCAGCTCTGATGTATGTGGCTGGTGCCCTAGCCGCTGAGCCACAGGTGCTGAGCCCCTAGCTATTTTTGTTGTTATTGTTGTTTTTGTCATTGCTGTTTAGCAGGCCCCAGGCCCCAGGCCAGGTTCAAACCCACCAGCCCCCATGTATATAGCCATCACCTAATCTATTTTTTTTTTCCCCAGATTTTGTCTGGGGCTGGGTTTGAACCCATCACCTCCAGCACATGGGGCTGGTGCCCTACTCTTTTGAGCCACAGGCACTACCATGCCTAATCCTTTTATTTATTTTTTGCGACAAGAGTCTCACTATGTGGCTCTCAGTAGAGTGCTGTGATGTCACAACTCACAGCAACCTCCAGCTCTTGGGCTCAAGCAATTCTCTTGCCTCAGCCTCCCAGGTAGCTGGGACCACAGGCACCCGCCCCAATGCCCAGCCATCTTTTCTTGCAGTTGTCATCGTTGTTCAGCTGGCCCAGCCAGTCTCGAACCTGCCACCCTCAGTGTATGTGGCTAGCGCCATAACCACTGTGCTACAGGCACTGAGCCCCAGGTGATTCTCTTGGTCAGGTGCCGTGTTGGGGAGTCAGAGTATGAAAGGGGAAGACAAATAAGACAAGACAGACACATTGGGAAAGGGACTGAGCCAAAGCTGTTTATTGTAACAGGTAGGGGTTTATATAGGTTTAGTTAGTGGGGGAACGAGGGGTACTTCTAGATTTGGTTATGTATGTAGTCCTGGTTTGTGATAGGCTAGTATTGTGAGGATGAAGTAGGAAGAAGGTGGAGAGTGATATGAGTAAATTTTTTTGGAATGTGTGCACGTGTTAAATCGCCTCTGGTCTTTTGTATGGTTTCTTTTAATCAGCAAGGTCTTTAGGCCCTTCGTGTTAAATGTCTTTGGTATTTTGTATTGTTTTTCTTAATTAGCAAGGTCCTTAGGCGACTCCTAAGATGCACTTTTTTTTGAATGTGCTGTAATATAGTTGTTAACCCTTACAGTCAAGCTGGTCTCCCAGAGTCCTGGGATTACAGATGTGAGCCACCGTGCCTGGCCTAACCATATAAATTTAAGTAACGAATACAAAAATGCTAGGCTGTGCCAGGCAGGGTGGCTCATACCTACCTGTAATACCAGAACTTTCAGAGGTTGAGTGGAGGCTTGAAGCCAGAAGTTTGAGACCAGCCTGTACAACACACCAGGACCCCGTGTCTAGAACAAAACAAATACAGCCAGTCATGGTGGCACATGCCTGTAGTCCTAGCTAATGGGGAGATTGACAGGGAGGATGGCTTGAGCCAGGGAGTTGGAAACTGCAGTGAGCTATGATTGTGCCGAATTCCAGCCTGGGCCACAGAGCAAGACCCTTCTCAAAGGGAAAAAGTCCAGGGAGAGGCACTGATTGCAGAGTTTGGAAAGGTTCCTAATGATGCTGCCATATCTCACTTCTGATCACTGTGCTTTAGATTTATGACTTAACATTTTATCACAGTTTTTAAGACTTATGCATTAAGATAGTGGCTTGGTGCCCCATAGCACAATGGTTATGGTGCCAGCCACATACACTGAGGCTGTCAGGTTTGAACCTGGCTCAGGCCAGGTAAACAACACTGACAACTGCAACAACAACAAAAAATAGCTGGACATTGTGGCAGCACCGATAGTCCCAGCTACTTGGGAGGCTGAGGCATGAGAATCACTTGGGCCCAAGAGTTTGAGGTTGCTTTGAGTTGTGACAACATGGTACTCTACTGAGGGTAACAAAGTGAGACTCTGTCTCAAAAACAAACAAAAAAGATACTCTGTTTTTACGGTGAAGTGTATCTATGGTAACATGAGCTGATGTTCCTGGCCATTGCCTGAAAGATTTGAGGCCACCCAGGGAACAGGATTGGCTCTAGGGAGTTATAGTGTTGGTGGGCTTTGGGTAAAAATAAATATCTATGACAGTATGTACAATTCAGTGGGGTTTTTTAAAAAAATGTTAAAAAAAATGTTAAAAATTCTGGTTTGTTCTGCCCCCCTACCCCATTGAACACATTTTCTTGCCAATAGGTCAAGGAGGTTAAAAAGACTTCATCAGGCTTGGAACTCATCATGGTTACTTCAGCTCCTGGTCGAAAACCCACCGTGACCACAATTCCCGATGTTGACTGCCTGCTCTGGGCCATCGGGAGGGACCCAAACTCTGGGGGTTTGAACTTAAACAAACTGGTAAGCTGACATAGTGTGCCCAGAGCACTCTCAAATCCGTTAGCCCTGTGATTTCCACCCTTTTCTCCTAGACAGCGAGAGCTCAATCGGGTGATAGTGGATTCTTTTCTCCTTATTTCCTGTATCCACTTTGTCATCAAATTCAATTGCTTCTTCCTTTGAAGTTAAGAAATTATTTTCTTGGGTGGTGCCCGTGGCTCAATGAGTATGAGGCCATCCCCAGATACCGAGGGTGACAGGTTTAAACCCAGCCCTGGCCAAACTGCAATAAAAATTAAAAATAGCTGAGCATTGTGGTGGGCACCTGTAGTCCCACCTACTTGGGAGGCTGAGGCAAGAGAATTACCTAACCCCAAGAGTTGGAGGTTGCTATGAGCTGTGATGCCATAGCACTCTACTGAGGGTGACAAAATGAAACTATCTTTTTTTTTTTTTTGAGACATTCTCACCCTGTTGCCCTGGCTTGAGTGCTG